GGTTCAATTCTCGATATTGCAAGATCATTCAACATTTGTTCACCTATTGTGAATCTAACATCAGTGATTATATTCTTCAATCTACTAAAAGTGCGTTCAGCAGTTGCACAATTCGTGCCTATGGTGATGGATATTCGGTACAATCTTGCTAAATTTGGAAATGCACTTTCAAGACCATTTGAAATTATATATGAATATATTTCTTCAGTTGTTATATTAATTTGGTTATTTTCAATTTCTCTGAATAATAAAGAAATAAACTTGCAATAAGAAATTACAGCACTAGAATTTTTTATCAGCTTTATGGAATAATGAGAGATCTTGCAAACAACGTTATCTTCTTCTGCACGTAATCTTCAGCAGTTTCATCAGAAGATCGTATTGTTCGTCTGATCCTTGTTTTAATTTCTTCGACCACACTTTTCAGCAAGGTCTTCAGTTTCTTTCTCCAATTTCAATTTCAGCTTTTTGCGAGTAGTTCGATAACACAAATACCTTAGTCAGAACGTGTTTTCAATAGCAAAGTAAAAATTTAAATTCGAATGTTACCATGTAAGTGGCAATTCCGATTGCTTGAGCCATCTATCGAATTGTTATATTGCCCATTTTTTCACCATCCACCATTTCAATGGATGTAGAAGTTAGTTCTTGATTGTTACAAAAAATTGAATCTACTGCTCTTTTGTGGCGTGCCCAACGAGTATCAGATATAATTTTCAGAGTGGGAGATGATAAATCTCCCGCTATGTTTTGTTCCGGTATCATTTCAAGAAGTGTTAAACGTTTATTAGTTTTTGGTCAGTGCATCTGAATTGAAAAGGCGGCGCTAAAAACGATATTGCCTGTCTTTGCCCCCCCGTGGCGTCGCCACTGATTGCAGTTATCCGGTTATCTTGATAGAAGCATAGATTACGAATAATCACATATATGAGGAAGGAGAATTCTCCTATGTATGTACAGGGTGTTTCATTATCAAGTGGAAATATTTCAGCTATAAAATCCTGAGCTCAGAATATGAAGATTTTACCCGAATCAGCTAGCTAAAATGTGTCTCCTGTCTGAGTTACTGGGAGTTTGATTTGAAAATTAAAAAGTATTTGTGCCTATGGTACTTCGAAACTAATTCACGTATCATTGTCATATTTTGCGGGAAGGGTAGAAATTTGTGTGAAATAATCGTTTCTTGCTTTTACCGAAACGTATACGACAGGGGCAAGTGACTAGTTAATCTTCTACAAATTCTAAGCCACTGGCGGAGTTGCCATTTCATCACAGTTTCTCTATTATATTTGATACGTTGCGATAACGTCGAGATATCACAAGTTGAACATAGAGCTCCAAAATTATTCTGATTTTGATGTGTATATTGATAATATTATGTCGATGTTTTGGATCTCTGATGGATATTTCAAAAAAATATATAATACCATGATATTTTTTATTCTTTTTCAATATAATGAATGGAAAAACACCTTGTTACAGACATGGAACACTTTTTATCGAGGTGATTTCGGTAGAATCCTCATATTTTTGGCGCAGGATTTTTTAGCTGAAATATTTGAAATAGTAATGAAATACCCTGTATACGATTAACTACTGATGATTATTTTGATACTTGATTATATATCTTGCCTTGGAGAGTTGGTTCAACAAGAAATTTGGAAAACATGTTCGATATCATTCGAACAGAAGATTATCTGAATTCATTGTACGATAATTTCAATGATTTCGATACTTATCTTCTTGGGTACTCATACTCTTGATTATTATGGAAAGTGAGTTCATTCGGGTTCAAATTTCAGAATTGTTCAAGCATCGTTGTTGAACTGCGCAGAACTAGTGCGCAGTCGTTTCGAATCTTAGGAATGTTTCAGAACGGTTCCCATATTATGAAAACACCTCTGAGAACATAACCTCTATCGTGAATTTGCAAAAACACAATCATCTTTGTATGAATGAATATTGAATATAAAAAAAGAGAATGTCAGGTGAAAGGGAGAATACTGTGAATTTTATGAAGATTTAATGGTAGATGATAATATCATCATATCAGCATTCGCAGCTAGATTTTCAACATGTTGTCCATTGGACCTAAATGAATTTCGACACCCACCTGACCTCGCGATTTAGTAGGACCAACTGGTGAGACTGAAAATGCCCTCATTGAAGTGACTTGAATGTTGTGATTGTTTGTCAGGTCGGGAGTCACAAAACTCCCTGAACTTCTGGTGTCCAATAGACAACGACATGGTATTTTGCTGACAGTACCAACTAACAACCACAGTTCGATCCAACTAAATTGAAAATACATTCACAATAGCCAGAATCACAGCTGCCTGGCGACAATCTCTTTCTTGAGATTTACAAACCTACACGTCTTTCAGTGTTTTGATAATGTCCTTTTATGTTGAAGATCTTGCTGTATATACCTCGAGTCGATAGGCGTCGGAGTGACTACAACAAAATTCTCAAATGTCGCCAACCAGTAAGTAAATTCCATGCCAGCACTAGGAGAAGCCGGACTCGTGTTGAACTTCTCAGGATCAGAAACACTTGCATTAGTATTCGTTTATACGTATCTATGCATAGATATCGGGAGGATGTAATTCAATGTTTTTCATCCGTTATCTACCATTATTGTTGTTCATTTAATGAACATTTGTGGAAATTACTTCATTCAACATTTCATTCCTATTTGAGCATTGTGGTTATTCCGAAGTTAGAGTTGTTTATATACCTGAGGTAGTGAAGAATATCATTATTATCCAGGAACCAAGATTATATCCAGATGCTCCTGTCGAGAGATTTGAGGTAAAGTGGTGGATATTCTTCACTACCAAGGTGTATATTATATTTTTGTCACTCTCAGCAATTCATTACAATTATTTCAGATCTATGGAATTGAAATATGGACACTATTGTTAATATGGAAGCATTCCTATTCAATTCCAATTCAAATCTTGTAGACATTACCATGATAGCATCATGATATGTCGTTATTGATAAATATCCACTAGATTCGAGTTCCATTCCTACGAATCTCTCATCAGGACAGTGAATTCTGGTTGATTATAACAGGTGGCTATGTCTTCATTGACTATAGTCAATAGAGAATAAACCCAGAAATCATTATATGTTTTCATTAGTAAGAAAGACAGACATTGAATGAATGGAGGCAACGTGATTAGCACGTCTTGATACAGGGTGGGTAACAGAGGACAAACATTCATTCTAATAATACCACAGTTTGAAAACTCAAATATAATGCCATATAATCAAGATAATGTCAGTAATGTATACCCAAGATCGCAATATTTTTTGAATCGGCAGATTCACATGTAGAAAGTAACGTTAATAATTCTATATATCTTTAGTTGGTATCGCCCACTGCATATGGTGGAGTACTATGCGTCTTCAAAAAGTAATTCCCTCTTGCACTGAAAAATAACAAAAAAAATTGGTAATAATGAATAAGTCTTCATTATTCACGACAACCATGTGTTGATGAAGAATGATCTGCTAGGTTAGGTTTCTCAATTGAGTAAACCCAGCGAGCACAAAAACATCAGAGATGTTGAAAGTACGAGATTTCGAGACATTGAACCTCCACTGCGATGTTCTGTTCACACATGAATAGAACTATTATAGAACAGCCAATGTCCGCCGCAGGCGTCAATTATCGAGATGTCCTTGATATGTCACAAAACTACCTTCTCCCTAGTTCTTTTTAAAGCCTTTTCATGGACACAACAGAAAATTTTCAACGCGTCTTGCGCACATTGATTCGCTGTAAAAACATTTTCGAGGTACTTTTCTGAAGCCTTTTGTCAAAATAAACTTTTGCATAAGGATTCCATTTCCCTTGAATGAAAAAATGCGTTAAAAATAGATTGAATATAAAAATATTTTCTTGATATGAAATCACCTTCTTAATCGGTTTCTGAGTAGTGTTTACGACAAACAGACATATAATTGGAAATAGGTTTCCCAATTTTTGAAATGTTCTCCACAATGCATAATTTTGCAACTGCGGAGAAGCTGTGTATTGATGAATTCGTACTTTTATATATTGATTACACTGAGGCACCGAACAACACATCTTGCATCTGATGGTCATTATTACAAACTGAATAAGTCTTCTAACATAATAAACTTCACCAAATTCCTTTCTGTTCGTTAGCAGCGTACACTCTGCAAACGCGAATGCCAATTGCGAACGAGAAGAACAAAATCGAAAACAAATCAGAATTCATCGTATTGTGACGTAGGCATGAGACGTTGTGGTGGGGCAAACAAAGAAAGGGCACAGAAGAACAAAAACAATACTTTCAATATCCTTCTAAGACCTCTTTGGGAAGTGCAAATTACGCCTCAAAAAAACATCCTCATGCCTACATTTCCAAAACATCCCAAAACATCCTAGGGATACCTCACAGTAGGCAAACAAAGAAATGCCATAGAAGAACAAAAACAATACTTCAATATCCTTCAAAGACCTCTTTGGTCAGTGCATATTACGTCTCAAAATAACATCTTCATGCCAACATTCTCAAAACATCCCAAAACATCCCAGGGATGTTTGTGCTCGCTGGGAATGCTGTTGAAAGTTTGATATTCAATATTGTCATTGTTATTTTCAAACGGCTAGAAATGTACCGCAAATAAGAACTGATGTCATGATTTTGTAAGTAGGGGCCACAGAACTCAAGAGTTCTGTGGTAGGGACAGACCATGACAATTATATACTGAAATGAGAAATTTGAACTACAGGAATAATATTCATTCAATAATTCATAAATCCTCAATTTTGTATTGGTGATATTCTTGATTATCGAAGAAAAATCCATTGTCTTGTAATTCTCTAGAAGAATTTTGGTCTATATTCATAGCAATGGAGCTGAAGAGCTTTTCCACACTACGTGGACACCTGGTATTATATACTCACCTCTTGTCAACCTGGTACTGACCCAAAAACGACTTGGACTGTCCGGCACATTTACCATTCTCATAATCAGTGTTATTGTCGCACTTGAGAGCCACGAAATTACCCGTCGTCAAGGATTCAGCATAGTAAAAGAAGGCTCTATTGTGACTGCACCATCCGGTTGTATCAGATTCGCATCCGGGTTGGTCGCTTCCACCATTGAGGAAGTAGTCAGCATGACCTATGGCTTGGGGAAAGCCCAATAATCCGGCGTTGGTGTGTATGACTTGAACGAATTTGGCATCACTGGTGTCCAGACGATTTTCTGTTTTGTCGTAGGAAAATTGTGGACCCGCTGGATCCATACCTGAAGAAAGCAATGATGATTAATTAACATTCCTCAATATCGTTGGATTTCTTCTTTGAGTGGGACATAGTTCGAACTTCTTGGAATATCAAGGGTATCGAGACCCATACCAACATTGACTGAGCCTTCCTGGGCAAGAAGCCGATGATTCGAGATATTGAGCAACTTCAGCAAAATCAATCTTAGAGTTATAACATGGTTCAACTGGTTTTGGAGTCTGGACTGGCATATTTTCAAACGCAGCAAGTCATCGTATTCTCAAAATCATAACGCCCTATAACTTCTCTGGAACACTGGTAGACTGGGATGATATACAGTATGTTCCACTTATCATTGAAAGATCGTTTGCAGCGGTTCGCTTAAACGAAAACTACAACAGGTATAACGCCAGACCATCGTTATTTAATAACAGCTGAAATTTTCTGAGCACACTTTGAATTCAGCATTCAATGGACATTCCAAAAATTGATTTAAATTTACGGTCTTTCATTTGAAATAATTGACGCAGACATGATAATACCAACGTTGATCACCCTATATATTCAACATCCCCGTATGAATGTGGCAAAATGACATTAAAAGTCGACCTAATTCAAGAGATTCTTCAGAAATTGATAGTTTGACTGAAAATTAATTTATTCAGTACTTTACGAAAGCACTGTGGGCTAGGTATCAGCACAACCAGAACGGTCTGGCTTCTAATTGTTACCAGAGTTACATGTATGGAATTCAGCTTTCATACGTTAACGAGAGTCAAGTTACAATTCATCAGGGTTTGAGGGTGTCTGGCAAGGAGTAGCCACCATGGTAACGTGTCAGGCAATGGATGACGTGGTGTCTGATATTATCCCGAAAAAATATATCACCCTTTATAGTATAACGAAAGGAAGTTGATATTTTCAGCACCTTTGCTCCGTGAAACCTCCCAAAGGCACCATGACCTGAACTTCATATATGCTCATCGTTTTTACCTGTGTTGGGAGCATGCGCTCAGATTTTATGAAATAACGAAGGTCTGGCGTTCATGGGAACTTGAACTGAACGAAATTTCCAAGTGTCAGTTTATGGTTTTGACGACTTAAGTTATCCTCACCTATAATAACATCACATTCACTGCCAAGATGAGCGCAAGCTGCACCAGCAACATGGGAACCCAAAGAATGCCCAGCAACAGTCGTCCTGGCTAAATTCAATCCATTATTATCTACGAGCCTTTTTATGAGTTTGCCAAGCAGTCTTCCAACTTCAGGAACAACCGGAAATACTACATCGTAATCCTTGCTGGCGATCTTGCTCCAGTCCACGGCGAAAACATTGAAGTCTTGTACCTCCAAGGCGGCCTTCGAGACAGTCCTGATGACTGGTGAATCGTATTGGTCATGCCATCCGTGGATAACAATCAGAGTGTTCTTCTCTTTAGAAAATCCTGCAGATCGGATTCCTTCGCTGTCATTCGTATAAATTTTGATGCCATCAGCTGATCCATTCCGAACGTGGAAGTATAACTGGATATCGGATTCTTGGGGATGCTCGGATGTAACTTGTCGCGTGAGGTCTTCTATTCCATATTGCCCTGGAAATGAAGGAGGTTTTAAAAGGGGATTGTCGAAGTTAATATTTCATCATGTATATATACAGGGTATTATCTAAGTATGTGGCCAAACTTCAAAATGCGATTATTTGGGTGATTCAGAGATGGAATGGAATGTTCATATGGATAAAGGTCCTGAGATACTTCCTTCTCGAGATACAGCCTGTTGAAGTTTGAAGTATCGATTGTTGTTTTTTATGATTACTCTGATGGGTGAGCTCTTATGGTGCAAGGATTAACGCCTCTAAAAGTATGCCGCTTATTTTTGAATCACCTTGTATAGCTCGTCTCCACCTCGGGAAGATTTTCAAAATGATCGTTTTCTCTATATCTGCCGCTCTCGTGGTATCATAAGTGGAAATATACCTCCCTCACCTATCAAAAAATCGAACAACCCAGAAACCCATATAACTCTGCGCTGATTACCTCATTTATTCAATTTCTGGGCGAAAGTGATGAAGTAGGATATAACTTTCATATCATGGTGACAAATATCGTCGTGTTCTCAATATTACACAACGCAACTTCCTTCTTGTCTCACTGAATTATAAGTCAATCCAAAACCCAAATTAAAAAAAAAGAAATGTTGAATAACAAGAAACGGTAATTTTTGGGTATTGTTTTTCTAATTAGTTATTTTGACAGATGGGGAGCATCGAGGGCTTACGCATTCATGACCTGTGAAATTTTGAAGTGAAAATAACAAAAAATCGAAAAACTACGACAGATTATCTGGGACACTCTTTCCAAAACTTCAAATTGAAATATTCTCTGAAAAACAAAATGTTGAGTGCTGACATGCCAACCAACAAGAATTAATCATTGGGAATGTGTTTTTTGATGTCGGAAAGGTTTTTCACCTCTTTCAAGCCATCAAACAAGAGCGTTTTTTTTGCTATATCAGACCGATCAGACCCTTCTAATAGCAGATAGCTGTTGTGGCAAAAAATCGACATCGACAGAAACATCAAACTCGCCTTGTTCTGAGCATGACTCCAACTGCAATTGTTATTATGTATTTTTGTGATCGATGTTCCATACTTCAGATATTATATAAGTTTTAAATTCGAATGAAATTATTTCAAAATACCCACTTGTTTTGTCTAGTTATGGAAATTCCAACTAATATACAAAAGGCACAGATATTGAATTTTCCTGTTTTTCTAAAAATGGAGACCTAATGGAACGATGGGTCTAAGCTTGCTGCCGACCGGAAATGAACTAAAATAGTGGAGATAATAGTGCAGGAAGAAAATTTTACAACTCCACATGTTTCGAAGCTTGAAAGCTTTGTCATTGTTGATGATGGAAAATGATACTGTCGCGATTTTCATATTCAATATTTAATCTGCTCCTAGGTTGTTCGGAAGAACCATGCTGCCCTGCTAAACGAAAGTGCCGTATGTACAAAACAGCCATTTCGAGATATGCGAATATTTGAATTTTACTTTGGCCAAGAGACCGTATGGTCAATTGCGCAGTGATATACATGTTTCTTGAGAAACAATTACATTTTGTATTGTCTGCAATAGCCATTTTTCAAAAACTACACGTTTTTTTGCTTGAAAAAGCATGTACTGAAGAAATGGTATTGCCATTAAAAAGAACGAAGGCCGTATGTGCACGTACATACTGCTTTATCATTAGGTAGTGTTAACATACGGCATTTATGCCTTGTAAACTCGTTGAATAAATAATGTTTGAATTCAAGAAACTACTATACAAAAATGTTGATGTAAAATTTAACATCATTTTACTGCTTTTTCACCTTTTTCTGTTTAGATGAATGAAGTCGATTTACTATTATTATTATCATTATGCGAACAGACAGATACGCTTTGCACATTCTCACCAACTTACTGAGCAGTAACCGACAATTGCTAAGGAAGAGTGCAGTAAATACAGAGCATATGCTGCACTTTTGTTCAATATACTGCAGGAACTGCGTTTTTGTCTAGTATTCACAGTGAATTTTGTACATACGGCAAACAAAATCGACGAATATTTCCACTAATCATTACATATACGGTGTTTTTCCTTAGTGAAGAGATCCCAAAATGTCCGCAGTATACAATCATCCAAAAATCTCATAATTGCCATTTTTGCACATACGGCACTTTCACTTAGCAGGGCAGCATGATGGTCAATCAAATTAACGAAGATTTTTCGGATTCGGGTTTCATGAGGTTGTCGTCGTTCAGGGTACCCAAATACTAAGCTATGAGGTAATGTCGACGTTTCTGTGTGACTGTTAGTATAGCACTAACATGTCGAACTTGTCTTCATTTGAATAGGAAATACCAGTCATTTCAACAAATTTCCAAAACGTGTGTGTCAGATTTATGATTTCAATGAGAAAAAATAAACTATCTTTCCATCCGAATACAACTTTGATACTTCGAATTATCAATCGTCAAACCCAGAAATATTCAATTTTCTGACAAGTAAATCATGACCTCATTCTGACAGCTGTCAATCCGACCTTTTCGGATTTACTGGCCATTTTCGGTTTTTTGTAAATCTGAAGTCAGTTATCGAATGCACTAAGTTGCCTCTAATACTTTCTCCATTTAACCATTGCTGTAGGGATGATAGGGACCGAGATCCCTATATAGAGAAGCGAATCTGGAACACACTGTATAGTTACTGCCGAGAAGCTAATGACAATTGATTTTAGCCAATAAATTTTTGGTCCTGCCTTCGATCTCAAAATTTTAATCATAAGAAGCGATGGAAAAAGAAAGCTTAAAGAAATACAAAATAAGTGAATTTATTTGATCAAGTGAATGAAGGTAATGTGAAGATGAATGGAATATGATTGATAAACCTATAACTGAAATGAATATTATTTCATGATGAGATCAGATATGTTATTGTGGGAATACTCAATGATTTGATATTTATGTTTTCTCAGGGTGTTTTCTCAGGGTGTTTTCTATATACTTCTCCTTATTGCAGCAATTATCAGTTTCACTTATCAACGTAAGGACGGAATAGTACCTATAAAACGGTTTTATTCTTATTTCGATAATTGAAGCTGATAACTGGAGTTTGTAAAAGTACTGGGGAAACGCCTAGTGAAAATATGTAACATACATGGCTACGAAGACATGGAACAATAACGTCAGAATAGTGGTAACAGTTTCTTTACAGAAGAAGTAAACATTTTTTATCAAAATAACGTCAACAAAAGAAACGGTAAAATGTCTTCGTTCAGTTGAAATAATAGTTACGTTAATGTAATGATAATTGGAACATAAATATTACCTTAATACGATGAACTTTGTGTAACGTGAAAAAACTTTTTTTTTAAGGACAATCAACGTAACTGGGAGAAACTGGATACTTCATTGTGTCCTATATCATATCGTAACATGTAATTAAGGTTACTCTAAGAATGTGATGAAAGTGTCGTGAATTTTTTTCAAGTGAGTATGCTCAAAATTGCTTGTGAAATGTAGGTGAATACATTAAAATGTTGATGTATGTCGAGAATTAAAAAAAATATTCACCTTGCCGCTAGCGAATTTATTCCAGCATAGATCTGAATGTGTATATTTAGATCTATGATTCGATTCCGGTTAAAGTCTTCACACTAAATATTGGGAGATATTTCTTTATCCTTTGAGAGGGCACATCAATAATGCGATCAGTTCTGAATAGTTTAACAATAATCTCTACTTTAATAGCATTTATGACTTACCTGATGGACTAGCATACGCTGAATAGAAAACAATAAAATAAAAAATAATGCCCTTCATTATGATATCGTTTGATAGACTGAGTTCTCCGAAATGTTCATGTATTTTATATAGACTTGAGACCGATTTTAAATGATATGCGGTAGATCATGGGCGTCGCCAGAAGAAATTTCAAGGAGGGGCTCAAATTTGTACTTCCAGGTTAATGATCACGGGTAATATCATGAATGCTCGCAATATTCTGTCAGAAATCAACGAGATCCAATAGAACGAGGTGTCCCAATCAGCACAACTACGTTTATTTCCGGACGACGGACGTCAGAAGGTCATTTTGGGAACGTCCATTTTAAGTCCAGTTTGGGGCTATTTTGGAACCAAACATGGACGTAATGAGGACATTCAAATTATATTCATTGTCTATCTTCTGACCCATCTCAAGAGTAAGATACTTGAATATTATTATACATTCATTCGCACTTAATAATACAAAAAGGGAATCAGGTAGTTGTTTCATTTCAATTTCACTTTTAGAGGAGTAAAATCGGGGATAAAATGTGTCGTTTTTTTTTTTCGAGGTATAACCAAATCGGACCTATTAGATAATGTTCCTTATGTGATTTTCCATCATAGTCCAGCTAGACGACATTTTTCTGTGGGGACGAACTTTTTTATTCAAAAAAATACGAAAAAAGTTGGATATTCGAAAATCGTGTTTTTCTAAACATATTATTCAATATTTCGAGAACTACTCGAGATATTGATTTGCTTTTTCGTTTGATCGAAAGAAGATAATCTAGCGCTTCTCATCATGCCAATAGAATGATGTAATGAAATCGGGTTTTTTTCTGAATAAGTTGAGAATATGAAATAGTGAAAACCGTGAGATGAAATTTTCACTGATCGAAAAACTTTTTTATTATTCGAATTCTTTATATACAATCAGCGAAGGAAATTGAGATAATGAGTCGAAAAAGTTTTTAGATTAAAAAAATTCGATACATATGAAATAGTTTTGAAGGTATGATTTTTTAAAAACATGCTAATTCCGCGCCTCCGGTAACTGTTCGCGCTCAGCGCAATACCAGTGCCTACTCCCAATACCCGCTCCATCAGTGCTATGTGCTATGTAAGCTCTCTACTGTGGTTATGTTGAGAAATTGTTCTTATGATGGTTTCAAGGTCAATGATGCAAGTATAGAGGAAAATAATACTGCATTCATATTTTTCATAATGGATAATTGGACGATTTCATAAGTTACAAAATATAATCGAGTTTAAACC